CTTTTTATGGTTAATTATAAAAACTCAAATTTGAGGCAGGCTCATATTTTGCTCTGGTTTAATTCTTCAGGCCAAAGCCTCCCTCTAGTGGTCACTCTGTGAAGTGTTAGAGTGGTACCATGGACCTGACAGGTTTCAGACTGGCGCTGACTGATGCTGCTAACCTTCTTGTTTCAGAGCTGTGGGCACGTTCGCTCGAGCCCTGGACTGCAGCAGCTCCATCCGCCAGCCCAGCCTCCACATGAGTGCAGCTGCAGCCTCCAGAGACATTACTCTGGTGAGAACCTCTTTATAAATCTACACATGGACCCATTAAAATGTGCCATCCTGTCTGTGTCTGACGTCAGGTCCTGTGTTGATGTCACCAGACTCTGCTCCACGTCTGAAGGTCTGCTAGAGTCAGCTCAGCTGCACACCGCCATGTTGAAGGAGCTGAGACTGAGTTATTAAAGCAAGAGCTGTGTAAAACCAGCTGAATACTAGCTAAAACCAGCTGAATGCTAGCTAAAACCAGCCAAACAGTAACTAAACTGCTAAAACCAGCTGAACAGTAGCTAAACTGCTAAAATCAGCAAATAACAGCTAAAACCAGCTGAACAGTAGCTAAACTGCTAAAACCAGCTAATAACAGCTAAAACCAGCTGATAAAAGCTAAAACCAGCTAAACACTAGCTAAACTGCTAAAACAAGCTAAACACTAGCTAAACTGCTAAAACCAGCTAAACAGTAACTAAACTGCTAAAACCAGCCAAACAGTAGCTAAACTGCTAAAATCAGCAAATAACAGCTAAAACCAGCTGAACAGTAGCTAAACTGCTAAAACCAGCTAATAACAGCTAAACACTAGCTAAACTGCTAAAACCAGCAAATAAAAGCTAAAACCAGCTAAACAGTAACTAAACTGCTAAAACCAGCCAAACAGTAGCTAAACTCCTAAAACCAGCAAATAACAGCTAAAACCAGCTGAACAGTAGCTAAACTACTAAAAGCAGCTGAACAGTGCATTCGTCCATCTATTTATTTATATTTTTTTACCTGCTTCTCTTGTCTGGGTTGTGAGGAGCGTCCTCCAACCTCCTGCAGTCAGTGTGTGAGGGGTGTGGGACACCTGGACATGTCTCCTGTCCATCACAGGGACACACAAAGACAACCAGAGCCTGTAAACTCCACAAAGAAACAATCGTTGGGAGGTGAACCTGTAGCCTTCTTACAGCAGCACCTAAARGCTAACATGAACAAAGCAGCAGATGGAAGCTAAAACTAGCAGAAGAGCAGCTAAAGTCTAGAACAGATGCTAGCATGTTGAAGATTTTAAAAAAGAACAAATGTTTGGAGGAGTTCTCAGAGCCTGTAAATGATGATCTAACAGGCTGACATTTTGACTCAGCTATGGTTCCATGTGGTCCATGTTGGCCCGGTGGACTGGCTCAGTCTTATCAGGGTCACCAGATGGTCTGCTCCTGCAGGGCTCCTCAGCTAACCTAGTATCCACCTGTGTGCTGCACCTCCTCCTCTCAGCTGCTGGAGGAGACCCTGAACCCTGTCTGTAGTTTTATCATCAAAAGTATCTGAAGTCGTTATAAACCTGATCCGATCACGTCCAAACCAGGTGACTGATGGATGTTTTCCTGTCTTTGGTCAGCGTGTGCCAACATGTTGGACACGATTTGCATAAGTTGTGTAAAACGTTACGGTGTGACAGGGCCTTTAAAAATGTCTGGCAGCGAGCCACGAGTACCAGATCCTGCAGGTCCGGTTTGTTGTGATTCTGGTCCCACTGACTCTCAGCTCAACTGAACCTTACATTTCTTCTGCTTTTCATTCAGTCACTCTGCACTCCTTCTGCAGTGTGGCTTTATTCTGCCTCTAAAGGCCCCTGCTGTCAGGAAACAGTGCTCAGCTGCGGTGAGGTTAGGGTTAGGCTACCTAACCTAACCGAATCGAACCGAACCGCAGGCTTCAGCCAGCTGAACTGTGTCACAGGACTTGAGCCAGAACAGAACACTGCTCAGAGCATCAAGCTTCCTGTTGGCTCGTCTTCTGTCACTCGGGTGGAGAGGAGGGAGATGAGTCTGCAGTGAATRTAGCTGTATCTCATAGAGTTTAAAGCTTTTAGCTCCACACTGCAGTTCTGAAGTGAGAAAGCTCCTGGAAACATCAACTACAGAGATATTTATTAGGGTTTGTTGGATGACTGAGGCTTTACAGYAGGCTTCTACCCATCATGCTGTGTTCCTGCTGACCTGCTGGTCCACATGATGCAGCCTCTGGTAGCCTCTGACCCCTGTASACGGGAACAAGGTGAAGCTACCTCTTAGCTTTTAGGTCTTCATGCTTTCATTGTTGCTACAGTTGCTCAGGTGTTGTAGTTGCACATTTTCAGCTTCCAACAGCTTCAGTCCACATCAGGGGGCTGCCTTTGGCTTTCATTTTGTTTTTAAACCACCTGATGGATGTAAAAACATCCATCAGCCATTACTTTAATACCAGGTAGAGCTTAATGTTTTAATACAGAGTAGAGCTTAAAGAGATCCCTGATTAGTTGTAACATTAGACTTTATTTTATAAACATGTATTTTAACTGTAAAATAAAGACTGTAAAAATACTGTAGGATGTTCAGTTTTTATCATTTTTAAACTAAAAGGTTAAAAATATCTTACACGAAAGGGGCCATTTTTACATGCACAGCATTCTGGGTAAATGATGACATGGATAGGTCATCGGTGCAAGGCTGCTAGCGAGCTATATCCACCCTGAAGGTTAATCTTGGAGAATATCTGATGATCGACTCTTTTAAATGAAGCCAGAGAGCGTTGACAGAGAGGAGAAGGTAGAAATGACTCAG